AAAAAAAAAAAAAAAGAAAAGAAAAGAAAAAAAATTAAGCTGAACGCAAATAACGCAAGAGGCGCAGAGCATAACCTGGGTTACAGTTTCGTTGAGTGCTGTAATGCTCTACACGAATTGGAGAGATGATTGCCCCTACACTTGTTTGTTTCATAATAAACGATGGACAGGGTGGAACTGAGACGACTCAAAGAACACTTTTTTCATCTTTGATTTAGAACCAAGTCATTATTCACTTTTTTTATTTGCGTTTCGCTTTTTTCCTGTGTGTTTTTCTTGTTAATTTCATTTTAGCTTTAGATTTTGTTTTCTTTTTTAAATTTGCGCTTTCTTTTTATTGATTATCAGTATTTATTTTTTATTTTGTTTTAATTTGCAATTTCTTTTTTAGCTTATGTCTGAGCCTTTCGGGCCACTGTAGGTTTACGTGATGGGTTGAAGGGAGTAAACTGTACGAATATCCGCCAGGAAGTTGATTTCAAAGTGACTATAAAATGTTTAAGCAAGCAACCGCAAGGATGATCCTGCTGGTATACGTTGGATCAATAGTCACCTAATCGGCTTCACATATAAAATGAAAAATATAAAAACAGAAACCGACACAACGTAGGATGATTTTTTTGAAGGTGTACTATATTTTGGCTAGCCAAACCAGCCTTCTTCAGGTACAATGGGACGTGTTTTTATGTAGCATATTTTCGTAATACCGGAAATACATAAAACTAATTGACATTGTAAATTAAAGATAAACATATGGTAAAATAAAATAATGAAATAACATAATAAAAGGAAACGATTAATGTGTTTCTTCGCGGATGTTTAGACCATCTGGATCAACTGTTCTGCCTTTTGAATTAAAAAAGCTTCCCTGGCCTGACGGATAGAGTCTCAGTTGGAAAATTACATGCCGTTAGCAGTGTGGTTAGGAGAGGACAGGAAATAATTTCAAAGCCACTTGCTGCACGGAGCCCGTAAATCGAACCGGCACGTTTAGGATCGCGCCGTGAGGAGGAACTAAAACCTTTGCAGCTCATATCACTGGCAGCAGACCCAGGCATCCCGGCTAAAATAGAAGAGGGGAAACATACCATAACTGATCTGAGTTTTGCTGAAAATAAAGGAGACTAGAAATAGACGAACTGAAATATATTTAAATTCAGCCTAAAACAATAGACCTCAGTACGAGGCTCTGGGGTTTATTCCCCAGAGCCCGGTACTGAGGTCTGTTGTGTTAGGCTGAATATTAATATATCGAAATTGGTCTATTTCACTCATTGTGAACACCATCATGGCTATACGCGATGTCGCGCGATGCATGATGTCACACGATGCGTGACGTCGCGCGACGCGTGATGTTGCGCGATAGTCAGTACGAGCGCGCACAAAGGATGAAAGGAATCGTCCGCTTTCAAAACCTCTGAACTTCCGCATTTTCACAATCCGTGATTGTATGATACAGTTGCCATGCCATTGAGTGAGAGTTCCTAATGAAAGTGGTAAAAGTTCAATTGAGGCCTTACACTACTTCGCCGATCTACGGCATCATCATCACCCTGATGATGCCGTAGATCAGCGAAAGCTTGGATTTTCTAAAAGATTTTAATATCATTTTACAGTAGTGTAAGGCCTCAATTGAACTTTTACCACTTTCATTCAAAATGCTACTGAAGGACAACATGCAACGATTATTGAGAGTTCCTAAGTTGAGATAAAAATCAAGTAATACAATGCATCTGAATGCGTCAGCTGGTAGAACTCGTTAGAAAGCGTGATGGTTATCAACAAATAGAATAAGTCAAACTAAAATGAAGTCAAGCGAGCAAAAATAAATAAAGCAAAATCTTCTTATATTTCTCACTGTACTCTATATACAGTAGCGGTTCTATGGCCCCTTTAGACCCTTAAGAAAATGAGCTCTTGTTATGAACATCACGGCCGCCGTAAAATTCCTTTATATCTTAAAATAAAAGAGAAGAGGCTAGAGAAAGAAAATCGGATAGGCTTTGAAAACCTTTAAAGACTGCCAAGGAAATGCTACTAAGCGGCATTCCGCCGACCCGGTTTTCTCGTTCCGATCTTGATTTTCCTTCCTCTCCGAGAGTCCGCGTTCCTCTCGTCTGCGGTTGACATCCGGGAACTTATAATCGAGAATCCAACATGGAGGAAATAGGCATTGCTGTTCAAAGTCAGGTTAGTTTCGTCTTCTTTTCTTTGAATCATTTCAGTGTTATTAAGTTATTTACTATCAGCTTACAGAAATTAAAACCTTAAGAATTGATTTAGTGAAATGGTCGCTGACTTTCTCCTTCCTGAGTGGAGGTTTCCATTGAAATCAATACCTTCTTTGTCGTGTCTTGTTAGTGAGAGTAAAATTTTGCTTTGTCACGTTTGCGTCTTGGAACAAGAATTTCTTGGGAAAAGATCGAGGGAAAACTTTCAGTATGGAATGTTTGTAGTTATTCTTGCTCAGTAAATTGCTCCTCTAGTTCGTATATTCCTCACTCTAAAATTGTACTAAATTTGTATAGTTGTTGAACCTTTGGCAAAGTACACTGTACTTGGAAATGCGACAGCTCGCTCAGTTGAGACTACAGAAAAAATAGTGTTTAAGATTATTTGTCCGTGGAGATTTCTTTGTGCTAGAGTAGATTAGATTACTAGATAAGATAAGTCTTAGACTAGAAACCTTTGCCTTATTGATTGAGGCCAACAATGAATTTGTTTCATGTGCTTGTTAGTGTGGTCACATGTTTAATATTGAAACCTAAATTTTCAGTCTAAACTAAGTTTGATTAAAATTGTTTTAAGTATCATACAATGAAGTCCTGTAATAATCAAGTTCTTGCCAAATTGTCACCAGGATCTTTCTTATCTCAAGTTAAACTTTTGACTGTCTTTAGGAACTGACAGAGAAGTCACCTCTAAAATACTACTAATCCTTTGCCCATTAGCACCTGCTACTCCAACAGTGTGGCCTGGGTTTGAATCCTAGACCCTGTATAATTTGTAGGTTAAGTTTGTTGTTATCCTTGCTTCTAGCATTTTTGTTGGGGTTCTCCTGTTTTCCTTTTTCGTGCAGCACCAAACTCTTTATATTCCAATTTGTTCTGGAAATGGTGGACTAGGAGACACTCCAGGGATGTGCCACTTCTATTCCGCTTAATGTGGACCTCTTAGGGGAGGGGAGGGGGAAGTGAGAGGAGAGCATGTTCCCTTTCATCCCTTGAAAATGTCACTTTCTTTCCCTTGTTGCCTTTTATCAATCTCCACTGTTCCCCAAAACTTTTTTTCCAAAGTTCCCATTAATAATAGGAATATCCCTTGTTCACTCAAATCAATCCCCAAAATATCCCTTATTCCCATGAAAAAAATTATCACATTACCTTGTTCCCTAAGACCCTGGGGAGGGCCTCATTTATTTGTTCATTTTTTCCTCTTGTTTAGGATTCAAGTCGACCTGCAACAGCTGTTAGCAGTTCGCTTTCAACTGTTGACCCAGATGTCGATGATCTTTACACAAAATATAAGAAGCTTCAAAAGCAACTTGAATTTTTAAAAGTCCAGGAAGAATACATCAAAGATGAACAGAAGAATCTGAAGAAGGAACTACTCCATGCGCAAGAAGAAGTGAAACGAATCCAGTCTGTACCTCTGGTTATTGGCCAGTTCTTGGAAGCTGTGGATCAAAACACAGGCATTGTTGGTTCCACAACGGGTTGGTGACTATTAGTCAAGTTTTTGTTTAATACACACAAACTTACTGACTCATGCCTAATATGCAGGGTGGCATGTGGGGTGATTTTATCAATGGAGGCTTCTTAGCAGGTGACATGGTTAATCCACCTCCAGTTCCTCCTCATCAGGATGGTAGCAGAGTGTTCCATTCCACACTGTTTGAAGAAGTTTCTGTTTGAGATGGTGTTGGGTCAAAACAAAAAAACAAAAAAACAGAAAAACAGAAAAACCATATGATCTGAGTGCTAACAGTATCCAGCCAGCCATACGTGTTGACATCTGTACATTTATTTTAGGGAAAATTGTTGGCTTAGTTTGCAAGTGCAATGTTTTGAATGTTTTGAACTCAACATCCTTGCTTATAAAGTTTTCAGGGTCTTGAAACCCGGAAAAAAGTACTATGAAAAATGAGGAAACAATCATCGAATCGCGGCAAGACAGTCAATGTTTTTGTTTAGTACTGCAAGATTTTGAACTCCAAATTCTTTCTTATAGAGTGTTCAAACCATGTCGTGAAATCTGAACAAAAGTACTTTGAAAATCTTCTAATTAGGTTTCATTTATTAAATGTTGTGCATAAATTACTAAAAGATATCTTTGTCCCTCACTAGGGTCAAACTACTATATTCGTATTCTCAGCACTATTGATCGAGAGCTGTTAAAACCAAGTGCATCTGTAGCCCTTCACAAGCATTCCAATGCATTGGTTGATGTTCTTCCCCCTGAAGCTGACAGCAGTATAGCTATGTTGACTGCTGACGAAAAGCCCAATGTAGCATATGCTGACATTGGTGGAATGGACATTCAAAAACAAGAAATGCGGGAAGCTGTCGAACTTCCCTTGACACATTTTGAGCTCTACAAGCAAATTGGAATAGATCCTCCCAGAGGTGTGCTTATGTTCGGTCCTCCTGGATGCGGTAAAACCATGTTAGCAAAGGCCGTTGCTCATCACACGACAGCTGCCTTCATCCGTGTTGTGGGTTCAGAGTTTGTCCAAAAGTATCTTGGCGAGGGGCCAAGGATGGTGCGTGATGTGTTCCGTTTGGCAAAAGAAAATGCTCCTGCTATAATATTCATTGATGAGATTGACGCCATCGCTACTAAGAGATTTGATGCTCAAACAGGAGGTAAGGAAATCAAGCATGCATATTAAGATTTATGATAGACCCCTGCTACTTAGTGAGTCAAAACATGACTTATCTAGGAAATTGCTTAAATTTTTGTGTACCCTTACCCATCAGTCTTTTCTGCTGAACTCATTGTGACTGGAATGTGAATCAAAATGTTGGTATATTCAAGTAGTACGTGTAGTCACCTTATATTGATTGTTCTTTAAAATCTTTTCTTAGCTGACAGAGAAGTACAAAGAATATTGCTTGAGCTGCTGAATCAGATGGATGGCTTTGATCAGAATGTTAACGTTAAGGTGGGCAGATCAATAAAATCGTGCTTTGTACTTCTCAATGAACACATGAATTTTTTTTACAAAATCCAACACTAAATTTCACTTTTGATATAATAATTTATATCAAGCACGAAAGACTGTGTTTGGCCACATTTTCAAACACCGAGAAGAGAGCTGAAAATAGGGTGCACAGTGGAGAATTTTTGATGAACTCTGAGGTGTTTGGAATTGTGGTAAAACACTGTCTTGAGTGTTTGATATATCTTCTCAATCCCAACTAAAACTGAGGAGAAAGTGGAGAAATATCATGTAAATTTGTGAAAGTCTATGCTTATTAAGATCAGATATCCAAACACTGTCATGGTCATGATTTCCTTTCTTTAGACCTGATGAGTTATTAATGAGTTTGAGGACTAGAAACAGTGGACAAGGAACCTATCCATGGGATGTGCCAGTTCCCATTTAGTTTGATAATGTCTATTGTCTTTGTACTGTTGTTTGAAAATTTCTTGCCATTCTGTTTTAAACAGGTGATCATGGCCACAAATCGTCATGACACACTTGATCCTGCACTGTTGCGTCCAGGTCGACTGGATCGTAAGATTGAATTCCCCATGCCAGACAGAAGACAAAAACGTCTTATCTTCTCCACAATCACAGCTAAGATGAACTTATCAGAAGAAGTTGATTTAGAGGATTGTATCCTTTTCCTTCACTGGTATAAAATTTTTGTTTAGAAAAGAGGTTGAGCAAATGTTGTTAAACCTTCAAGAAAGCTGGGGTAAACTTAGTGTCAGATTAAGTGTGGAGGGAGATGACTTTTGCTTTGAAGAATTGGGAGTTTTAAAAAAAAAAAA